GGCAGCTGCGCGAGCGGCTGGAGCAGGAGCGCGCCGAGCTGGAGCGCCAGCGCCAGGCCTACCAACACGACCTGGAGCGGCTGCGCGAGGCGCAGCGTGCCGTGGAGCGCGAACGCGAGCGCCTAGAGCTCCTGCGCAGGCTCAAGAAGCAGAACACGGCTCCTGGGGCGCTGCCGCCCGAGGCGCTGGCGGAGGTGCGCGTGTGGACAGGCTGCGGGAGGGCGGCTCTGGCACACGAGGGTGCGAGGCAGAGCGCCAACGAGCATGCACCTGCACATGAAAAAGTGCGCGTGTTCAGGGCCTGGGGGCGCACACTTGTGGTTCCTTGCGTTCAGGAGGCCGAGGCAGGAGGATCGCCTCAGGTTCAAGGCCTGCCTGGAATACATAGGGAGAACTGTCTCCAAAACCACAAAAACGACAAACGGTGGTTTGGGTAGCCCATGCAGACAGGAACGTGTGTGACCATGGAGGTGTGTAATTGTGTGCAAGCATGAGTGTGGCTGAGTGAGACCAGCAGGACTGTGTACCCATGGGTGTGTTTTGGCTCCGTGGGTGCAGAGCAGACGCAGCTGAGGGCTGGGCGGGGAGCTGAGAGGTCAGGCCCAGGCCCAGGCCCAGGGTGGGTCCCGGCCTTGCAGGGCTTTTCCTGCCCCAGCCCAGAGCCGAGGAGGAGCTGGAGCAGAGCCCTAGGGACACTGAGACGGGTCTTTGTCCCTCTTGCAGGCCCAGCCCGCAAGTCACCCTCCCAGCTTCAACGGCGAAGGGCTGGAGGGGCCCTCGGCGCACGCCAAGGCCCCAGGCACCCGCATGACCCTGCTGCTGTCTGGCACCGGGCTGGAGTTTGCGGAGCGCCCTGAGGTGGCCCGCAGGGACAGCGCCCCGGCCGAGAGCCGGCCTGCCAAGAGCGAGGTGCCCATCCAGCTGCTCAGCGCCACCAACCAGATCCAGAGGCAGGCGGCCGTGCAGCAGCAGATCCCCACCAAGCTGGCTGCCTCCACCAAGGGCGGCAAGGACAAGGGCGGCAAGAGCCGGGGCTCCCAGCGCTGGGAGAGCTCAGGTGGGCCTGGCCCCAAGGCCCGGGGCCCCGGAGGTGGCAAGTCAGTCGCCAGGGTCTGCTTCCCCTGGCTGGGAAGTCCAGCTGCGGGCACTCCCGGGAGAAAAGGACACTGGTCCTCCCGGAGAGGGCACCAGAGGACAAGCAGCAGGCGGGGCAGTGGCAGTGAGGTGAGGGCCACCCTCGCAGTGGGGGTCCTTTTTTTGAGGCAGAATGGAGATGACCAATCCCGTGTCCTGCTCTCGCCTGCGACCCTGCGTGCAGAAATGGGGTGGGTCAGACATGGGCACAGGTGGGAAGTGAGCAGCGGCAGATGGGGCCGGGGATTCCAGGCCCAGAGGTGTGGTCCTCGCCCTCGGGCACCGGCAACACTGCGCCCTCAGCCCCAGGGACAGCCTGGGTCTTCTGGCCACTGAGGCCTGAGGGGGGGGGGCCACACCCTCCTCCTGCCGAGTTCCAGCGACTCTGGGGGCCCTCCCAGGCCAGGCCGCCGCCTGTGGGAGTGTGGGGGCTCGGCGGCCCAAGGTGGCCTGGGACGAGGCCCAAGCACCTTCCCCCTTGCAGGCTCTTTCGACCTGAAGCAGCAGCTGCTGCTCAACAAGTTCATAGGCAAGGATGAGAGCGCCTCAAAGAACCGCCGCTCGGTGAGCCCCATCCTGCCGGGCAGCCACAGCGCCACGCCCGCCCCGGGTAAGGCCCGTCGCCATGCGGTGGGGCTGCCCCGCGCGCCTCCTGGTGCCTGACACCCCGCTCCTCACTTGCAGACCCCGGTTTCCCAGCCCCAAGCCCGGCGCCAGCGGACGTCTCCCCCGAGGCCCTCGCCTTCCCGCCTGCGGCCCCGTGCCCCTCGCCGCTGCCGGCCACACCGCTGCCCACCAAGGAGGAGGCCAGCAAGGAGGACGTCATCTTCTTCTGAGGGCCGCGGCCTCGGTGCGGGCCCCTCCCGGCCTTGCCCGCCCAGCTGTCCCCTCCCCTGCCCATGCACACCCCCGGCGGCCACCCGGCTGGGTCAGCCTGTTGGTGCTTTGGGTCTCGGCTCTTTCTGTAGGATTAGCGGTGGCACCTGGGTAATTTCTTCAACCTCTTTATATAGAAGTTTTTCGTGGCAGGTTGAACCCCAGCTAAATCCAGGAGCTATTTTAAGCCGTAGGGTAGGTGAGAGACGGACTCCCAGCTGGTTTTCCCCAGCAGCAAAGATGGGGCTGGGGGGTCCCCGTGGGGTTGGGGGACAGGCCAGAGCTCGGTCAGAGGAGCTGCAGCCCCAGCTGGGCTGCCCCACCGAGAGTCCACAGGGGCCAGTACCTTGGGCTGCGGTGGTCCAGAGGCAGGCCGGACCTTTGTACAACAGAGACCCCTGCTGGCCTCAGAGAAGCTGGCAGCCTTGGGGGTAGAGAGGCCGTGCGGGGAGCACCGGGGGTGACCCTGGGTACCCAGGCCGGCGCTGTGGGCTCGGAAGCTCACTTTGAAAGGCTGAGCAGCAGCGCTCCTGCTTGCTTGATGGAGGCTGCGACTCCGCTGTCCTGCCCACGTGGGGTGGGAGCCCCAAGCCTCGGGCTTTAGCGAGGGTAGCTTATACCCCAGGGGGGTCCTCGGCCCTCCAGGCTGCTCGGAGGAAGCCCCCAGGGCTATCCCATCTACCACATCCAAGGACACGAGGAGGAAGCGCCCGGAGATGCTGCCAGCCGCGGGCGAATGGCCCTCGTGCTGGCACCCCGTCTTCAAGAGTTGTGGCTGGGGAGAGCACATTTCAAGCCTCTTCCCGACCCTGGCTGCCTGAACCGAGGTGGTGGCAGCTGGGCCAGACCCCAGGCTGGCTGTTCTTGCTCCTAGGGGGGTGGCACTGGGGTGCCAGCCACCGCCAGGTCGTTCTCCCACGCCCAGCAGGGGACTCGCTGTCTGACGTGCAAGCGGGGATGTTCCCGGCACGGGGCAGGGGCTGTCAGGCGCTGTCACGTTGAGTGTACAGTGCGGCCCTGTTGGCCGTCGGCGAGGCCAGTGTGCACCTCGGGCCCAGGAGGCGTCCGGGCGGGCACAGGCGCTGACGGCGCAGGAAGTCACACGCCATCCCCACCTCGCCATCGTCCCTGGGCTCCTGCTCTGACAGCCTGGAGGCGTCCCGACGCCTCGGTCCTGTCTGTTGGCCCTGTCCTGTGTCCCCACACCCCCCAGGTCCCGTCTGTGCCATGTTCTAATCAGTGTTGTGTATTTTGTACTGCGATGTTCGGAGCACTTTAGAAAAGCTGACTGAGTTCTGCTCTGTTGTGGAGCGGAAATTCCTGGTCCCACCCCCACCTCAGTGCTCTGGTCCCCCAGGAGTGTTTGGATCTGGGGTGGGGGGCTCCCCAGTCACTCCCGGTAGAGCCCGATTTTGTCCGCAAAGCTGGCGGCTGAGCTCTGTTCGGCGGGATTTGTCCGTGTCACTGGTGTCTGCTATGACCGTGACCTTAGCCCACCTGACGTTATTTCTAGTGATTACATTTCCTCACTGTGGGATACTTCGGGAACACCTAGAACTTCGGATCGGATCCTAGCAATAAAAGTGTCCAAGATGACCTCCGGCTGAGGCGGATGTGCCTGGGGGTGGGGGATGCAGGCACAGGGGGTGGGTAGGGGCCGGGCAGCTAGGGCAGAGGCGGCCGAGGAGCGGCGCCAGGCCAGGATGACGCAGAGACGGCCATGGGGCAGCGTGTGGGGCAGGAGCGCAGCGGGGTCGCAGTGATGGCTTAAGGGCATAAGTTGCCTTTTAGAGGTGGTGAAAACGTTCGAGAGCTGCCTGGGGTGGCAGCTGCGTAACTGAACACACCGAAAACCAGACGTGTGCGCCGTAAGTGTGTTAAGGGGTGTGGTCAGTGAACCGTATTTCAGACCTGAAGGGCTGGGGTGCAGCTCAGTGGCAGAGCGTGTGCTTACCCTTAGCCCGCGTGACACCCTGGCTTCAATCCCCTGCACCAAAAGAAAATTAACTTTAAAAAAATCACAAAGAAGCGAGGCATGGTGACACAACTGCAGTCTCAGAACTCAGGGAGGCTGAGGCAGGAGGACCACAAGTCCAGTTTCCACCTGGGCACCTTAGGGAGACCCAGTCTCTAAAGGGCTGAGGATGTAACTCAGTGGACACTCAGAGAGCTGGCACGGGGTGGGACTTGGCCGCCTTTTCTGGAAGTACTGTCTCCTGCTTGCAGTACAAGCCCCTCCAGCCACTCCCTCCTGGTACCCAGACCAGGGGCCCAGTGGCTTTCCCACCAGTGAGGCGCTGCCCTCGGGCCTTGCAGGTCCTCACGGGTCGGGGTCCCCAGCCCTCATCTCGTGGTTGCCGCTGGGGGGGGTGCTGCCAAGGCTGGGCGGTGTGTACCAGAGGGGAGGGGGAGCGTGTAGCCCCTCTTGTCAGAGTGCCCTAGGTTGGAGCTGGTGTTGGATCCCCCAGCACAGTTACCCGGAGCGGCCCCGTCAGTCCCCACCTGCCTGCAGCCACTGGCACGCTCTCCCACCTTGCCCTACACAAACACGTCCCAGCCTGCTGCGCTCTGACGGGACGGGGGCCACGCACGTCTTCAGAGACGCCAGCGTGTGTGGACTGGTCCGGCCTGGAGTCCACGAGACGCTCAGTGGCACCGCCTGGGCGTTGGCCGCCCTGAGTCCAGGCGCATTCTGCTGCAGGAGATGAGCGTATGCCACCCTGGCCGCCACTGGTGCCCCTGTGCCCAGGAGGGGGCAGTGCGGCCTGGTGAGGAAAGTGACCCTCCAGGGATGCAGGAGCTCAGGCCAGCGGGCAGTGACCGCCCTGGGATGGAGAAGCCACTCGGGGCCAACAGAGGGTGTCCAGCAGGGCGACCTGGGGCATGGCTTCAATTCATGGCATCGAGCACCCAGGAGCCACCAGTACAACGATGTCACACGGGGCGGGGCCAGCACCAGGATATTTAATTGGTTCTTGGTCCAGCTCCCCCAGGGCCGGGGGGTGGGGCGGTGTTGCCCCTGCTCCCCCAGGATATGGGTCCCGGCAAGCTCAGCCTTGGCTCCAGAGCCCCAGGGCACCCCCCACGTGGGCGCTTTCGCCACCAGGGCACAGGCCGGGCCCTTGGGCGCTCCGCCAGCCCCTCTTCCCACCATCTCCTTGAGCTGACCCAGGGCTGCTCAATCAGAGACGACTCCCGCCCAGTGGGAAGGGACCCCCGTCGGGTCCAGCCATGTCCTGCGCCCCGGGCCACGTCAGGGGCTGTCGGCCTCCGTGTGGCCGCCAGCCCGGGCCGCCTGGTAGACGCTGAGCAGGGAGGAGATGGTGCCCATGAGGCCCACTAGCCAGGGGGGGAAGCGGCCGGCCCACAGGACGCCCGGGGGCAGCCAGTGCACGGCGTTGGCCAGGTCGGCCAGGTTACTGAGCAGCGTGAGCACCTCCGACCGCATCTGCGCCTCCATGGCCTTCCGCTTGCTCCGGGGCAGCCGGCTGTGGGGACAGAGGGACAGAGGGACTGAGGACAGCCCTCCCTGGGGACCAGCCCCTGCTGTGGAGCCCACAGCCTCGAGCCCACCCCTCTGTCCTCCAAACTCCCGGAGCGAGCAGGGGCGTGGGGTGAGGGCTGGGTTTGCACGGGGTGTGACGGGAACACCGGCCACTGCCCTCGGGGAGCTGGCTCACCCCAGAACGACCCCGCCTGCTACCCTGGGGCCGTGAAGGCCCAGCCCAGGGGTCCTCGCTCTAGCAAGCCTCAGTTTCCCCGTCTGTAAAAGCTACTGCGTATCACCCAGAGCCCAAAGTGAGGCTCTGCAGCCCTGTGTGCGCACGTGCACGGGCCCCTCAGGGACGCACCGGGCTCATCCCTGTGACCCCTCTGGGCACCCGGATGTCGCACCTGGTGAAGGCAGCCGCGGGGCTCCGCAGCCTCTGCCTCAGCTTCAGCACCATCCACAGGGACCTGCAGCACCAGAGACAACGGGACCTGGCTCCGGGGCACAGGACACGCTGGGGGCGGGGGGCAGCTCCCCAAGGCCGCGCACAGACCAGCGGCCTCCCTTCCCCCACCTCCCAGACGGAGCTCCAGGCCCAGCCCGACCTCGAAATCGAAAGCTCAGGGATGCGTGACTGACACGGACTGGAGCTGCCTGGCCGTGTCACAGACCCACATGCTAGAGGACGAGGAGCCACAAGCCCGCTCAGAAGAGTGGCAGCCCCAGCCGCCTGCCCTGCAGTCCCTGGGGAAGGCCAACGGCTGGAGAGAGGCACGGCAACCTGGAGGGGACATCAAGAGCCACAGCCAGGAGCTGCCCCCAGACCAAGGACACACAGCCTCCCTCGGAGAGGTGGGGACAGGCACGTCTCGCTGCGGGGCTCCGGGGGCTTCTCATCTACTGAATCATGGGGACTGGGAGTCGTAGCTCCTGTTTTATAGGGAACCCAGCCCTTTCTCTTTTTCACTTTTTTTTTTTGTCTTTTTAAGACAGGATCTCACCACACAGTTCAGGCTGGCCTTGAGCTCACTTTGTAGCCCAGGGTGGCCTTGAACTTGCAGTGATCCTCCTGCCTCAGCCTCTCAGTGCTGGGATTACAGGTGTGTGCCACCACGCCCGGCTTTTTTTCTTTTTACTTTTTGAGTCAGGGTTTTGCTAAGTCATTAAATTCCCCAGGCGGAGCTCAAATTTGCAAACCTCCTGCCTCAGCCTCCCAGAGTGCTGGGATTACCTGGCATGGCTCAGGGCAGGGGCTTCTGAACAAGACAACTCAGCAGATTTGCAAAGCGGAAGACACTGGGGAGGAAACCGCTGTTGGGAAGTTGTAGAAACTCACTTGGGGAAGCACGGAAGCAGTCAGGAAGCAGCTGGCCGCTTTCTCTGGGTGCTCTGCTGACAAGGCAAGCAGGCGCCCAGGGACCCCCAGGCAAGGCCGCCACCCTGGCTGCTTCCCTCCGGGCCCTGGAGTTAGTCCCCTTGGGTCTGCTGGGCAGAATCACGGTCCCTCCCTGAGATGTCAACATCCTAACCCCTCCCGGGACCTACAGTGTCCCCCGTGTATCCAGGGCACAAAGTGAAGGACACTGAGACGGGAGGTGAACATGGGTCTTCTGGGGCCCGTGTCACCAAGGGTCCTCATAAGAGGGAGGCAGGAGCTTCAGAGTCAGACACTGGCAGACACTGCGCTCACTGCCGGCTCTGAAGGTAGAGGAAGGAAGCCAGGCATGGTGGCTCACACCTGTCATCCCGCATTCAGGAGGCTGAGGCAGGACTGCGGCAAGCCTGAGGCCGGGGGAGGGAAAAAAAGATGAAAGAAGGGACCATGAGCCCAGAGTACCTATAGGAGCTGGGACGGGCAAGATTTTCCCCCCGGGCCTCCAGGGTGGACCAGCCCTGCGCACACCTGGAGGCCTGTGTGGGGTTTCGGGACTGCACTATAATATAACCTGCTGGGAGATGCTAAATGGGTGCTGTTTAAAGCTCCGAGGGTGTGGTTATTCATTACAGCAGCCACCTGGAAACCAGTCCTGCACGCTGGAGGAGGGGCAGGGAAGCCCAAGAGGCGGCCACACCCCAGCCGGCCTCTGCGAGGTCACTTACCTGGCCACCCCCAGGAGCAGGGAGAGGCCCCAGAGAGCCGTGCTCAGCGTCCACCACCGGGCAGAGTCCACGTGCAGGACCTTGGCGTCGGCGGCCCAGGCAAGGTGCTCACACGGGTAGTAGAACTGGTCAGCAATGTTGCCCAGCACTGACACCCCTCGGACAAAGGCGTCCTCCTCCTGCGGGGCCAGGGGAGGGGCGGCGCCTGCAGTTGGAGCTCCCCACTGCCCGTTAGGGACAGACGGCAGCGGCCACACCAAGGGGCGGCAAGGCCCCTCCCTACCACCCGGGGTCACATCCACCTGTGGCATGGAGCAGCCCACGGCCCGATGCCAGCCCGAAGGATTCTGCCTCACCAGCTCCGGGTGGGCACCCGGCTCTGCCACCTGCTTGTTTTTTTTTAAGTTCCCCGGAGCTATGGCAGGGACGGGGCTCCAGGCAGCTGGTCCTGCACGGCACCTGGGACATCTGCCCAAGCTGTTCCCTCTTCTTCCCTTTGTTTTTGCAGTGCTGGGGATTGAACCCAGGTCTTGGGCACTGAGCCACCCCTTCCCCCTACCTCTGCCCCAAGCTCTATGACTCCCTCTACCCAGCAAGGCAGGGCCTGAGCTGCTGGAGCAGTGAAACGCATAGAGCTCGTTTCCCGCCTCCGCCGTCCTCCTCAGGGCCGTCTCTGCCCTCACGGGCAACATGGCAGAGACCCTATGCAGTGATGCAGGCAGCAGGTTGCTCCCTGCAGTACCTTAGTAACAGCCAAATATGAGCTACCCGTCCATCCGCAGGAGACAAATCAGAGCACCGGCTGTTAATCAGGGGCACACTGTGTGGCCATCAAGAACGAAGGGGCCGATGCCAGGCGTGGTGGCGCACGCCTGTAATCCCAGCACTTGGGAGGCTGATGCAGGAGGATCGCTGCAAGTTTGAGACCAGCCTGAACTGCATAGCGAGACCCTGTCTCAAAAACGGTCCCCTCCCCCAAAACGAAGGGGCCGGGCATGGAAGTACATGCCTGTCATCCCAGCTACCTTGGGAGGCAAGAGGATCACAAGTCCGAGGCCAGCCTGGGCAACTCAGCAAGGCCCTGTCTCAAATAAACTAACAAGGGCTGGGAGTGCAGCTCTGAGGTGGAGCTCTGGGTTCAACCCCCCCCTACCAAGAAGGCGGGGGCTCTGTCTGCAGTGATGAGAATGAGCTCCTGGCTGTACTGCTCAGCTGAAAAAAGCAAGCGGCAGAACAGGGTGACGGGGACGACCGCTCTGTATGTCAGCAACAGCATGTCCTGTTGTGACTGCAGGAAATTCACCCGGGACACACAAGGACTTGGCCAGCACAGCCGCCTCCCAGAAGGACTGGGCCCACAGGGCCAAGGAGGGGGGCTTTATCATTCACTCTCAGGATGTGCAAATGTGCTAATTTTATTTTTTAATTTAAATCAAGGGCTAGGGATGCAGCTCAGTGGCAGAGCCCTTGCACGGCCTGCACAAAGTCCTGGGTTCGGTTGGGACCAGGGATTTAGCTCAGTAGTGCAGTGCCTGCCTGGCAAGCATGAGGTCCAGAGTTGGACTCCCGGTACCCAAAAAAAACAAAAACAAAAAACCCAAAGTCCTGGGTTTGATCCTCAGCACTGCAAAAAGAAATAAATATACATATGAATTAAATCAAAATGAGAGGGCCGGGGATATAGCTCAGTGGCACAAGCGCCTGCCTGGCAAGCACGAGGTCGTGAGTTCGATTCTCAGTACCAAAAAATCGATAAATAAATAAAAAGTGAGAATGTCTGATCATCTCAAGAAAGTAAAATCAAAACATAAACTGTCCAACAGGGAGCACTCTGGGATAAGCCATAAAGCACAGACTGAGGCTGAGGCCTGGGGCTTTCTGAGGTCTGCGCCCCTCTCCCTCCATCCCACACACCCCATTACCTCGGTCCCCAGGCCGTACTGCTTTGTGTAAAGAAACATGGCCAGGTCATCAAAGAGTCGCAGGACAGTCCTGCAGTGGCTCAGCTGGGCCGACACCGCCAGCAGGCGCGTCCCCACTTCCGACCTGGCCGGACATCGTTCAAGCAGGACCCCGCCAACCAGCTGGCAGCAGTACCCCAGCGTCCGGATCTGTGGGAAACCAGAAGCAGTCAACACGCCTGTGTTCTCCAACTAAGCTGGATCACCCCTGACCCGGTTGCATGTGCTTTAGAAGATTCTAAATCAACAAGTTTCCAACAAAAGCTGGAAGTTTAAAAAAGTATTTCCAAGCTGGAGGCAGTGGTGCATGGCTGGGATCCCAATATCCTAGGAGGCTGAGGCAGGAGGATGGCAAAGTGTGAGCCCAGCCTGGACAACTTAGGGACTGAGTGAGACCCTGTCTCAAAAGAAAAAAATTAAAAAGGGTGAGGATGTACCTCAGTGAAAAAGCCCCAAGTTCTATCCCTAGTACTGCAATAAATAAATAAGTAAATAAATGCTCCTGCAGGTGGGGCAAACGGGGAACGTCACACCGCCTAAAGGTGGAAAAAAAAAAAAAGCCAGGCCTGGTGGCAAACGCCTGTAATCCCAGCACTTGGGAGGCTGAGGCAGGAGTTTCACTGTGAGTTCAAGACCAGCCTGGGCTACAAAGTGAGCTCAAGGCCAGACTGAACTGCATAGCGAGACCCTGTCTCAAAAAAAAAAAAAAAAAAAAAAAAAAAGGTGCAGAGCCTAACAAGAGTCCTGGCACAGGCAGGAGGAGGAGGAGGCGGAAATGCAGGTTTGCATCAACCTGCCTTTGGCCAAAGCCCTTAGCTGGGCGCAAGCCGAGCAGGGAATCCAGCCCCAACCCACGAGACGAAGCAGTAATCGGAGTTACTTTAGCGACAAGGAACCCACTCAAAGGGTCATCGGAGCATTGTGAAATGGGCGAGGTGCAACTCCCTTCTACTTTCCATTTTTCATCTGCTCCTCAAAAAGTGCTTCTCTCTGTTGTGTTATATATTCTTTCACTTGTAATCCTTCCCAGATCCACTGTAACGGCAAAACACTGCAATTTAAATGTCCAGTTGAAGATGAGGGTGTGAAAGCCTGAATGCTCACTCGTAGGGGACTTGGCTGGAACTGAAACGCCCACCAGCGTGGCGCACGCACGCACGCACGCGCTCCCTGGTACAGCTGACATGTGCACTGTAAAGTATGGGGCAGGGCATGTTAGGAGTCCAACCTCAGGGACCTGAACGGAATAACCTCCGTGCTCAACTACAGAGGATTTGGTAGAATTTAAATGTCCAGCTGTAGAGGGAGCCCTGGAGTATCCTCGATCCCCTTATATGACAGCGCTGGGAGCAAGCCGGGGAGCAGCTCGGTCGGATCCCGTCAAGCACGGAGACCTGGTCGGGAAGTGGGAATCCAGCCGGCCTGGGTCGGCAGGAGCAAACTATGCGCGCAACGCCCGGGCACGGACCTGAACCCAGCTTGGGCAGGGCCCCAGCGATGGGGGCACCCTGCGCGACACCGCCCATCTCTGAGCTCTGAGCGAACTCCAGGACTCCGGCCCCGCTCCGCCCCAGCCTCACCAGGCGGTCGCGACCCCTGTACGACTCCAGCGCCGACGCCAGGCCGCTCACTACCGCCATGGCAACTCCGCTGTGACGTCACCGGGACGGCGGCGCGCCTGGGGGCGGGGCCAGGCCGCGTCGGGGTGGAGCGCGAGCCCGCGCGCTCTGCGCAGGCGCCGAGGTCGCCCTTTGTCCCGCAGAGTCGGGATGACCCGGGGGAGCTTGCTGCGGCGGGTTAAGCAACGCGAAAGTGTGTCAGAGTTAACCGAGGCCCACGCTGCATCGCTAGATAGCTGGAGCGGGGCGCGAGGCCCAGAGCTGAGCGCTGGCTCAGCAAGCCCGAAGCCTGGGTTCGGTGTCCTGCAATGAGACAGAAAATAAAGTCCTTTAAATGTGTATATAAGGGGGTTGGGGATATAGCTCAGCGGCACAGCGCCTGCCTGTCAAGCGCAAAGTCGTGAGTTCGATTCCCGGTACCGGAAAAAAAAAAAAACAACAACAACAACAAAAAGAAAAGTGTATATAAAATATATATATCCGTGTGTGTGGATCTGCAACTATAGCTATAGAGACGTGTGTACGTATATGAATATATCTGGGTACGTGTTTATTCATATACTTCTTTGTGGTAGTATTTGGGGTTGAACCAAAGGCCTTCCCCCTGAGCTCCACCCCTAGACATGTTTTCATTTTTTATTTTGAGGCAGGGTCTCGCTAAATCGCCAAGTTGCCTAGGCTGGGCTCCAACCTGTAATCCTCCTGCCTCAGCCTCCCAGAGTGCTGGGATGACAAGCGTGTGCCACCATGCTCAGCTTTTATTTGTGAGTGTGTGTGTGTGTGTATGTGTGTGTGGCATATACTGTATTATATATATGTGTACATATGTATGTATATAATTATGTGATGTATAGGTATAGGTGCACGCGTGCCAAGTAAACCATCACAGAGGCTCGAAGAGGGATTTATTCTTCTAATTTTTCTCCCTTACCCTTCCTCTGTCTACAGTGAGTATTATCACCACAATACCATTATAAGGCATCTGTAGATGTTCTGAAAACACCTAGATTGTTCGAGAAGAATCTGGTGAACAGAACTGCTCCAGGGAGGTTTTATGAGGTGAGTGGATAACTTTCACCTTTATGACGTATGTAACTTCTGAGTTTTATGCAATATACATGGATTATCTCATCCAAAAAAAAAATCAGTTTTCCAAAAGTTAACACTGATTCCCTCCCCTTTTAAAATTGAGGTACATCATATGACATGAAATTCATTGCTTTTTTTCCTCAGTAGTGGAGATTTTACCCAGGGCCTTTGCACTGCACTATATCCCCAGTCCTTTTTCATTCTCTACTTTGAAGCACATTCTCACTATACTGCCCAGGCTAGACTCAAACCTATGATCCTCCTGCCTCAGCCTCTCAAGAGTGCTGGAATTACAGGTGTTTGCCTTCACTCCTGGCTGAAATTCACCATTTAAAAATGTACAGTCTAGAGCCGGGCGTGGTGGTGCACACCTGTAATTCCACCAATAGGGAGGCTAAGGCAGGAGGATCATTGAGAGTTCGAGACCAGCCTGGGCTACAAAGGGAGCTCAAGGCCAGCCTGAACTGCATAGTGAGACCCTGTCTCAAAAAGACCAAAAAAGAAAGAAAAAATGTACAATCCAGTGGCATTTAGTACATTCACATGTTGGGCAGTCATTGCCCCTTACTAGTTTCAAAGTATTTTGTCATCCCAAAGGAGATGTCATATGAGACTAGAGATCGCTACCTCAAAATATGACGCCTTGACATAAGGACTATTTTGATCTGCAAGTGAAGCACATATAGGAAAAGCTCTTTCCGCTTTGCTATTTTCCCAAGAGGAGGACACAAGTTTACAAAGGCATCTCCTCCCTCTCTGCCAGGAAAGACACTGATCACTAGATACCCTTGGAACTCTATTTCTTTGGTTTGATTTGTTTTGGGTTGGTTTGGTTTGGATTTTTGAGACAGGGTCTCACTATGTAGCCCAGGCTCATCTCAAACCCTGCTGCCTCAGCTTCCCGAAAGCTGGGATTACAGGCAGACGTGTGTTCTACCACACCCAGCACTTTATCTACCATTTATCTGCCTTTCCATAATTTGCCACGCCATGGAGACTTAAAGTCCTCCTGTCTTGTCACTGCCCTCAAAATACTGTGTTCTGTGTCAAAGATGCTAATTAGCCTGAGTTCGATCCTATTACTCACTTCTCGAGACACTGCCCACCTACACATGAGCTCCGTCTGTTAATGAATGTTCATTTTCCACTCGATTCTTCTGTTACGAGGACCTGAGTGAAGAACTAAGGGTAGAAGAAAGCTCATTTTCTTCCCTCCACTCTCTGCTCGGGAAACAGGCATCAGATCCCTCCCCCTCCCCACCCTAGTCTGCTTTCTCTCTGTATATTTACCTTTCTTGATTATTTCATGTAAGTGGGCTGGGAACCCATCACAGAGGTTCTGAATAGAAGTCCAAGCATGCTGCTTTGTCTGAGCCTTACATAGGTAGACCGAGGGGACTTGCTTTAAAGGGAGTGAGTTCAAGAGGGTTTAAAAAGGAAACCGATTGTCTTGCATTCTGTCCTCCGCAGGTCGGGAGGTCAGGAGAAGCTGTTAAAGTCTAACAAGGCAGATTCTGCCTAGGGGACTTCTTCCTGCCGGGAAGACTCCTTACTCTACTTCTGTGAGTTTGACTTAGCTGTTTACATTAGTCCTTAACCTGGCTGGGCTGTTTATTTTCTTACACATTTCTAAGCTTACCTGGCTACTTAACGTCTCCCTCCAACCCTGTTGTAGGCTTTTTGAACTGCTGATTCATAATAACTAAACAAAGCCTCCACAGCAGGACCCTTAAGGGGTGGAGTGTGGTTGGAGATCACTGGGGCTGGCCTTAATGGGCCATAGGGACTTTGCCCCTTCTAGTATCTTTCTGTCTGTCTGTCTGTCTGTCTCTGCTTCCTGGCTGCTGTGAAGTGAAAAATCCCTCCATCACCTTCTGCCTTGCAACAAGACTATGGACTGCAACCCTGAAACCATAATTCAAAATAACCCTTTCTCCTTATCAGCTGATTATCTCTGGTATTTTGTTACAGCAAGCAAAAGCTAACAGTGACCATGTGCGTATAATGCTTTTGAGGTTCACCCTCCTTGTAGCATGTACCAGAATTTTATTCCTTTTTTGTAGCTGAATAGTATTCCGCTGGATGGCTAGACCACATTTTGTTCAATCCAGTCACACATGGAAGGACATCTGGGCTGTGGCTACCTTTTGGCCACTGTGACAGAGCTGCTATGACCATGTATGTGTATGTGCTTGTTTAAATCCCCACTTGCAGTTCCTTGGGGTGTATACCCAGGAGCGAATTGCCAGGTCATGGAGTAAGTCTAGGTTTAACTTTCTGAGGAACTGCTGAACTGTTTTTCACAGTGGCTGCACTATTTTATGTCCCTACCAGTCACGCACAAGAGTTCCAACTTCTCCATATCCCTGCGACATCCTTTTTAAGTGACTGCTGTCAGGCTAGTGGCTGTGAAGTGGTATCCCACTGTGGTTTTGCTTTACGTTTCCTGAGAGACTCATGACATTGACTGGTTTCCTTTTGAAAAATATTTCTTTTAAGACAGGGTCTTGGGGCTGGGGATTTAGCTCAGTAGCACAGCGCCTGCCTGGCAAGCGCAAGGTCGTGAGTTCGATTCCCAGTACCGGAAAAAAACAAAAAATAAAATAAAAAATAAATAAGACAGGGTCTCATAGTGACAGGGTCTCACTATGTAGTTCAGGCTGGCCTTGAACTCACTATGTAGTTCAGGTTGGTCTCAAGCTCTCAGTGATTCTCCTGCCTCAGCCTCCCAGAGTACCAGGATAACACACATAAGCCACCATGCCTGGCTGGCATGCTTCTGTCCGCTTTACAGCCAGGCCTCGTGGCTCACACCTGTCATCTCAGCAACTTGGGAAGCTGAGGCAGGAGGATAGCCAGTTTAAGGTCAACCTGGGCAACTTAGTGAGATCCTATCTCAAAATATAAATGAAAAGGGCTGAGATGTAGCTCAGTGATACAGTACCCTGGATTCCACCCCTAGTACTGCAGAAGACCTACGAAGGAATCCCACAAGAGCTAGCTTCCAAGGTCAGACGCCCCCATGGCCTAAAAACCTCCACCTAGGCCACACACCCCAAAATACCACCCCACACAACCAAGCCTCCGAGGCCAATGCACCTTTCGGTCCATACCCTACGTGCCCACCACACCCAAACCGCACAGCTGTCGGAACGTGACCGTGCACCTTGCTGATTCACCCGGCCGCCATCCATCTGCAGGAAGTCCTGTTCACAGCCGGACACTGCCTGCGGGCCTGGGCCCTGTCTGAAGGTCTCTCGCCCAGGCCCCGTGGCAACCTAAGAGGCCTCCTCCACACCTAACTACAGGGGTTTGGATGGAGCCCACCACGCCAGGGACAGCAGGAGCCTGACGCAGCCTCAGTGCCTAGTTAGCAGGGATGCGGCCAGAACCTAACTGTCGGCCAGCTGGGAAGCCCTCAAGTATCTTAAGCCCCAGAGGAGATGCTTTGGGACAACTAGGGACCAACTTCAGTAGCCCAGGCAGCTTCTGAGTGTTCTACCATGGACACTTACTTGGTCTGTGCATGGAAGCTCGGCCAGGCTGCATCCAAAGAGCAACCCCCATGTCCCACGTTGAGGAGAGAAAATTTACTTTGTTTGAGACCGGCTCTCACTATGTAGCACAGGCTGGCCTTGAACTCGAGGCGATTCTCCTGCCTCAGCCTCGCAAGTGATGGGATGACAGGCGTGAGCCACCACACCTAGCGCTAAGGAGAGCAGTCTACATCTAGCTTCGACAGGTGCCTCCGTCCTGCCGGGTCACAGACGCCACAGTCACTCCCGCGCTGGCTCCCCCTACGGGGTCTCCAACCCCACCTGAATCCAGGGAAACCCCACAAGCCCCTTGCACTCAGCAGGCGCTGACTGATGCCAATATCTTGCCCCGACACCATGCCAAAGTCTCCCTCCACCACTCGCTCATGTCCCAGGAGACCCCTGGAGCCCACCCATGTCTTCTTGGCCCACGGTCACCTCCTTTGACAGCTGCCATTCTCACCCCCTGGCCACTGAGCCTTTTCCCCCAGGACATCCCAACATCGTAAGCAACGTGTGTGCGCGTGCACGCATGCTTGTGCGCGTTCATGGGCGTGTATGTTCGTGCGCATGCGTAGTACTGGGAACTGAACCCAGGGCCTTTTGCACTGAGCTGCATTCCCATGCCTTTTTTATTTTTTTTATTTTTTTTATTTTTTTGGTTTTTCTCCGGTACCAGGAACCGAACTCACGACCTTGCGCTTGCCAGGCAGGCGCTTTGCCACTGAGCTAAATCCCCAGCCCCGCCTTTTTTATTTTTTATCATTTGGTTTCTTTTGTTTTGAGACAAGGTCTCACTATGCAGTTCAGGCTGGCCTCAAACTCGGGGTGATTCTCGCCTCAGCTTCCCAAATGCTGGGATTACAGGTGTGCACCACCATGCTTGGTTTTTATTTTTTTTTATCTTGAGACAGGGTCTTGCTAAATTGTTAAATTACCCAGGCTGGGCTCAAACTTGCAATCCTCCTGCCTCAGCCTCCCAGAGTGCTGGAACGACAGGCATGCCCCACCACGCCATTTAACTGTAACACCCAAACAAGGCTTGGTCCTGGGTTTTTTTTGTTGTTGTTTTTTTTTTTTTGGTCTTTTGAGACAAGGTCTCGCTATGCAGTTCAGGCCGGCCTTGAGCTCACTTTGTAGCCCAGGCTGGTCTTGAACTTGCAGTGATCCTCCTGCCTCAGCCTCCCGAGTGCTGGGATTACAGGCGTGCGCCACCGTGCCCGGCAAGGCTTGGTCCTGTTACAACTTGGGTTCAGGGACTTGTGCGGGCCCTTCTCCCAAAAAATCCAAGCCAAGACCTCCGAGTGGAGGACCCCTTTTCTCTAGTGTGTGCTGTCCCCAACCGCTCCCAGCCGCAGCAGTGACTTTTGCCCGCACTGTCAGAGCTCACAGCATCTGACATCTGGTTTGAGCCGACCTTGACTTCAGGAAGAGACCTGGCCTTGGTGTTGTGAGCGCCGACCCAGCCCCAGCCGGTGTCCTCCGGCGGGACATAACAGTTCCACAGGACCCCAGCGCTGGACAAGGACACTCCCGAGTGTGGGTGGGCGAGACAAAACAAACCCGCTGCATAATCACGGCTGAACCCAGGCAAAACAAACCCAAGCAAGAACGCACTCAGCGGTCCTCGGACCTAGTCTGCTCCTGGCTAAAAGCGGCAGCTGCTAGTCCCTCACTGGGCTTGGCTCAGCTGTGCCCCCCCTCGGACTCCTTCCTAGAAAGGATGCGATGGATTCCAGAGCAGCAGGACCTCTCTCCGGCTTCCGGTTAGCATCCCTCCCCTGCCTTCCGAATTCCGCCTTCCCTGCAGGCAGGAGGAGGAGGAGGCGCAAATGTCCAGTCGCACCCCTGCCTGGCGGGATCCACGCCCGCTGGGCCGGAGGCCAGGAGCAGGTGACCAGGCCTCAAGCCAGGAGACCAAATGAGACTGTGATTCAATTTACTGCCAAGGAGCCCACTTCACTGCTGACTTGAGGCATTATGAACTGTATCGGCCTCACCACTCATATTTTTATTTCACTTACTCTTTCAATTTTAACCCAGCCAGGTGTGATGGTACAGACCCGTCATCCCAGCTACTCCAGAGGCTGAGGCAGGAGGGTCACCAGTCCAATCCAGCCTGGGCAATTTAGAGACCTAGTGAGACACATTATCAAATATAAAAAAGGCCGGGCTGTAGCTCAGAGGTAGAGCACCTGGGCTTGATCACCAGTAACACACACACACACACACACACACACACACACACACACAGATTGAATCAGCTTTACTGAACTGTAATTTATAGACAATAAAACTCAACATAGTCAGTTCATTGAGTTATCCTGCTTTCCCTTCCCATTCCAGTTTAAGGAGCTTTAACAAAGTTGTGCAGTTGTGTAACCACCATAATAAATAAGACATACAACATTTTTATCACTTGCCCAAATTCTCTCGCGCTTTAACTGTTGTTTAAAAAAAAATTTTTAATAAGCCAGTCATGGTGGTGTACGCCTGTAATCCCAGCACTCAGGAGGCTGAGGCAGGAGGATCACCGTGAGTTTAAGGCCAGCCTGGGCTACACAGTGGGACCCCGTCTCAAAAAACTCAAAAATAAATAAATAAATAAATAAATAAATAAATAAATACTATATAAAAAAATGTTGTTATTGTCTGAGGTAGGATCTCACTATGCAGTGCAGGCTGGCCTTAAACTCACCATGTAGCCCAGGCTGGCTTGAACTTCCAGCAATTCTCCTGCCTCAGCCTCCCTGAGTACTGAAATTACAGGTGTACTCCACCACACCCAGCTTTTTAAAAGGAACCTTCTGAATGACACTACCGGGAGCAGAGAGAGGGGCCTGGGATATAGCTCAGTGGCACAGTGCCTGCCTGACAAGCACGAGGTCCTGTATTCTATTCCTGGTCCAAAAAAAAAAAGACATTTCATTCTGGTCTAGTACTGTATTGTATATTATTTGTCTCAGTTCATTTTACGAAAGAAAAGCGGGGAGCGCAGAGACTCAGGGAGACTGCTGGGGGCTGTGTGGGGAGGCGGAGGTGCAGGAAGACAGGAAAGCAGCTTAATGGGCCCCAGCAGCTACTTTGCATCCTGCATCCATCCTGCGCTGAGGATGAAGCCCTAAGGGGCGCAGCATTCAAAGCAGGTCCTCGGGCTGCCCCAGGGGCCGGAACCATTGTGACACCATCACCGGGAAGCAAAGGTCACAATGGACAGCGCGGACACGGTCCCAGGGACAGCAGGAGCACAGGGAGTCTGAAGGCCCCGGCCTGCCCCTAAGCCCAACACTCCTAGCTCCCTCAGCACCCCGAGGTAGGTCTCCAGCCTTGTCTGTGTCCTTGTGGAGGAGGAAACCAGGGCTCCCAGGAGTCAATGACTTGGTATTTAATAATCTTAGTTGTCCGCTTCTCCCATACAGAGTTTGGAATCTTCTTGATTCTCAACTATTTCAGGATGTGAAATGAAAAAAAAAAAAAAGGGAGATGAAGAAGAAAGCAAAACAGATGTGATGGCGCATGGCTATCTTCCCAGCTACTCAGGAGGCTGAGGCAGGAAGACCTCAAGTTTGAGGCCAGCCTGGGCAACTTAGTGTCTTAGCAACACAGTCTCAAAATAAAAAATAAAAAGGGCTGGGGCTATAGCTCAGGGGAGAGCACTTGCCCAGGGTATTCGAGGGCCTGGGTTGCACCCCCATCCCAGGACTGCAAACAAAAAAGGACAAACCTGTACACTGAAAAAAAAAAAAAAAAAAAATGGCTTCATGAAAAACACACAGCTGAACACAGGAGCAAGTGGATGTGCTGAAGTGGACTGGGAGGGCTTCCGGGAGGAGCAGAGGATGACAGCCGGGAATCCCGGGCGCAGCAGGGAGGGGCCGGGGGAGGCGGCTCTGCTCCACCTAAAAGTGAGACCGTCCAGGGCTGTGGAGGGCAGGGGCTGGCAGCTTGGAGTTGAAGGTGGGAAAGCAGTGGGGAGGGGCGGAAACCGCAGACGTTATGAAGACAGGAAGAGATGGAAGGAAACAGAAAGGGCCCGGAGCAACTGCACGGAGCAGAAGGCACAGTGAGAAAGCATTGTGGAAATGAGATTGTGTAGCCGGGCGCGGTGGCACCTGCCTGTCATCTCCGTACTCAGGAGGCTGAGGCAGGAGGATTGTTGCAGCTGGGTTACATAGTGAGTTCAAGCATAGCCTGAACTGGGCCGGGCGTGGTGACGCGTGCCTGTAATCCCAGCACCGGGGAGGCTGAGGCAGGAGGATCATTGCGAGTTCGAGACCAGCCTGGGCTACAAAGGGAGCTCAAGGCCAGCCTGAACTGCATAGAGAGACCCTGTCTCAAAAAGACAAAAAAACAAAAAACAAAAAAACCCACAAAACTGCTGGCTGTGGATGGACTTTCTGTAATAGCGTGTCCCTCCTCTGCCTTAAACCCTACCATGGCTCCAGCTCATTACAAAAATGCCAAGGTTCTCACCTGCGCTTTGGAGCACTCAGCCACCAGCACCTTCCCAATACCATATTTTGCAAAGCTGGGCATGGAACCCAGGGCCTTAGAGCAGCTAGGCAAGCGCCTTACCTTCAGCCCGTTTGGGCGACTGATGTACCGCCCCCCTCCCGTGCCTAGGACAGTGCCTGGCACTCAACAGACGCCACTTGAATGATTATTTCTCTCTCTACTTCCCCTGGGGCCAAGCACGTGCCTGGCGAGCAGAAAGGAGTCAAAGGCAGCCTTGTGCCCGGCGGCCGCAGACTCGGTCCGCGTCCCCGCCGCCCGCGATGGCCGCGAGCGCCCTCCCGCCGTGCCCGGCGTCCCGGATGGACTTTCTCAAGGCCTCGCACTTCGCGCTGGGGCCGGACCCGCGGCTGCACCGGGGCGCCCAGCTATCCACATCCCACCGGGACTTCCCCGCCCACGGCCCCGCCAGGCGGGGGCAGCAGATCCCGCAGCCGCCGAGCGCGCGGCTCTTGCAACAGGACCAGCGCGGGACGGCCGAGGAGCGCGTGTCGGAGGCGCGCCG